AACAATACACCATTTTATAGAGATTCTCTTTATACAAGACTGACATGGTTAATTTGTAATTTATTTCCCAAATATGTTCCCACTTGTCTAATTCAATACTGTGGACCACATTTTTTGACCAAATTATCATACACTCCTTGACTGTTTCTTATTTTAATTTACAATCCAATAGATATTTATATATTTTACTAATCAATTTCCTTTCCTCTCCATGCCAAATTTTATCTAATTCTTGGTAGGTCATGTTAAAACCAAATTTTTCTTTATCTTTTTTGTAATGTGTTTGTATCTGCACATAGGGCCACCATGCTATCTTTTTTCCTCGAATTTGTATTTGATTCCTACCCTTTAACTCTCTGGTTTGATGTAATTGATCTTTGTATCTTACAATATTATCAAAATCTAAAACATTTGGATGTGTAACTGCCTTCATTGTAGATAACCACAGTGGGACCTTACAGTAATGTACTTTTTTATCTTTTCCCAAATAGTAACACACTCCTTATATAATGCCTTTGAAAGTACAAGTGATCTTTACTCTTTCCATCCCACATAAATGCATGCCATCCAAGTTGGAGATCAAAGCCCTCTAATGTTAAGATCCTTTTATTTATCAAATTAATGCAATCTTTGAGCCAGGTTACTATCACAGCATAGTATGTTTCGAAATCTGGAAGACCAAAGCCTCCTTTCTTTCTATCATCCTGTAATAATTTATATTTTATTTTGGGTTTTTTCCCCTGCCATATAAATTTGGATATATGTTTATTTAGTTCGTATAGAATTCGTTATAGAATTCAGATGGAATTCCACCCGGGCCTGGGATTTTATTTTAAAAAATAAAGTTCTCTATATAAAAAGGTAATTTAGTTGCAAAGAAAAAGAAACAGTTCTAAACTTTCATCTTTTTGCTCTATAAACCAAATCCAAAATCCAAATCAATTTTCTATAAAACACATCCTGAAATATTGAAAATCTCCAAGAAGAAAATATACTTCATAACTGAAAAAAGCCTCTCTTAAATTCAAAAATGAAAAGTAAATGAAAAGATGCTTTAGAAATGGGGTCAGTTCCAGTGTATAGTCTTTGGGCTATGCCACAGCGTTGAATGGCCATCCACTCATCAACCAATTGCAAAAGGTCCCTTTTCATGCTCCCACAAACACCACTTGTCCCTAAACAAAAGGGTTAATTTCCAGAATCTTCTTAACTCCAGAAGCTCTTCCAGCTGCAAGATCCCTGCCTAAGCCTCAAAATTAGCTGGGCGCTGGCTACTGCAAAAGAGGAAGCAGTTCAACTGCCATCTTCACCCACCAGAAGTTACCAGTTCTGTGGAATCCAATGCAGAACCCTAAACCAATAATCAACTCTCACCACAGTATTTATTGTTAACAATGTGCACTGAATAAATTCTCTCCAAAAAATAGTGAGAGGAGCTTCTAAAGACAAAACTATGCAGTCATATTTATACATTTCAGAAAAGAAGAAACTGATCTAGACTACATACACATAAATAAAATTGGTGTACGTTTATACAAATGTATAATTACCAAATCTCAAATTACTTCCACACCCTTCTATTACAATCTTCAAGAAACAATTTATTTTCTTAATAAAAGACCATAGAAATTGCCATAGAAATTTTGATGACTTACTAAAAACCAGGCATTTCATGGTTGCCTTTTTAATCTGTCAATAGCACATATAACTTTGGTTTCTAGTGTGTTAATATGCTCCAATCCTTTAAAAATTGTTTCCTTTATGAATTATGAGATTGTCTTTCCAGATATAACAGTACAGAATCCAATCCCTTTGTACATGTATAACAAATCAGTTGAAGACATGAAGTACTGCAAAGTAAAATATCTAGGATTGTCCATTTTCCAATCCTTACTTTGAACCAGAGCCCAATACTATGTTTAAAAACATCTCTTGGTTTAAAATTTGCCTCTTAAATACAGTGTGGTTGAGTAAAAATTGGTGTAGTTCATAGACCTGTGTTTGTACAGCTGTGTGAAAAAGTCCTGAACGCTTTCAGTTTTAAGCTGTATTTACATGTTTAATTAACTTTTCCCTCATAGAAACCACACAAAATTAGTAGTTTGATGAAAATTTCTGTAGTTGGATTGAGATGCATAATTTTTATTAATATAACCAAAGTTTTTTAAAGGTTTTGAGTGAGTTTATATGCTAAAACAAACACAACTTGCATTTTCAGGGATGTTAGGATTGAAAATCAGCAACGAGCTTTGGCTGACCAATCAAAATGTACAGAGGCTAAATCTATGAGCCAATCAATGTTGTCATACTCTCTGACTATAAATAGGCATGAAAAGCATCAAGAAATTTAATTTAGCTCTGGCTGCAGGCAAGGATGAAGGCCTTTGCTTTCACCAGTACTGAGCAGCGGCATCACATCATTGTGCTTCATGAAGAGGGTTACTCCTGTACAGAAATAGCCAAGAGAGTGAAGAAGGCGGAGCCTCCTCGCTGACGGAGGGTAGATCGCAACTCTCTGTGGCTATCGTTCGTGCTCTTTCGTCGGAGAGCCCCAATCATTTTGATTAGGGGCTGAAACTGCCTTGGAGGGGCAGCAGAGTAAGAGGAAGCAGCAAGCCTGATTGTGGGGAGCCGCATCTCCCCCCCTCCCTGGGCTTGGCTTTTTTTCCTCCTGAAGAAGACTGCAGCGGTGGTCTAAAATGGCCACCCAGAAGAGGACGACTCAGCTGGACTAAGATTTGTGCAGTAGGGAAGAAAGAGGTGGATAACATCTGAACTGGGACAACTGGGCAATATAACTAAACAAAAGTACCCCTGGATTAAAGTAACATAGAATTTTTAAGAAAAGAAAAGTGAATGGCGAAATTACAAAGGGACAGAGAAAAAAATATATTTTTGACAGCTAAATGGGGCTTCAAACCGGGAAAGGAAGAAGCTGGAATTAAAGATTTAATAAAATTGGACAAAAATAATTTGGGAATAAACAAGTATAAAACTAAAGCTGGACTTAAGATTGTCAAAGAATAATAATAACAAAATTTACAAATTGGAGACTGGACTGTGCTGGAATATTGAGGTTTGAAAAACCTTAAATAAAAAATAGGGGAAAAAGGTGAAGACTTTGTATAATGGAGAGTGTCACCTTTTGATAAAAATTTGGTTCAAATAAAAGGGAAAGCATCCTGTTTTTGAATGAACTGGTGTGGATATAACATTATAGAAATATTGAAATAAGTAAGAATTCTAGAAAGTGAAAGCAGAACCAGAATAAAGGAAAAAGCAAGGAAAGATTGTTTGTGGGACTGACTGACGTTTTTGGTATAAACCCTGGACTGGTATAAACCCTGGACTGAGAACCTTAAAAAACTGAAAGAAGAAAGGAGGAAAGTAAAAGTGCTTTCTTTTTGTGGACTTTAACGATCATAAAATATAAGAATGACGATATCTCTTCGGGAATTAAAAATGGAACTTAAAAATATGAGAGAATTACTACAGGAAAGAGGCGAATCACTTTGCTCTGTGCTAGAAAAATGGAAATGGCAATTGAAGAACAAGAAGAAAGATTTTCAGAGGAGGAGGAATCGACTCAAGGAGAAGACATTTTAAATAGACAATTAACACAAAGAACGCTACAAAGAAGTGGGGAAAGAAGGAAGGTTAAAAAGTTGAGTTTTAAGAAGGCAATTAAAAGAGGGAATACCTGTGAAGTCAGGAAAGGCAGGAAGATTCAGCAGACAAGGGGAAAGGAAGATATTAAGAAAGGGATATAAACTGGAATGAGAAAAGATATGAGGAAAAGGGGGAGGAGAAGCAGCAAGAAACAGACATATGAAATAAATAAATACAGAAATAGTAAAATGTTGAAAGGAAATTGTTTCTTTACAATTAAAAGAAGGAATACCTGTGAAGTCAGGAAAGGCAGAAAGACTCAGCAGAAAAGGGGAAAGGAAGATATTAAGAAAGAGAGGGATATAAACTGGAATGAGAAAAGTTATGGGGAAAAGAGTGGGAGGAGAAGCAGTAAGAAACAGGCATGTGAAAGAAAGAAACACAGAACTAGTAAAATGTTGAAAAGAAATTGTTTTTTCAGAGATAATGGTTGATGAATTAAAAAGGGGATTCTGCAGGGTGACAAGGGATAATAAGAATATTTTTGCAATTTAAAATATTTAGAAAATAGGACTGATAACTCTTATTAATGGGGGGGAAATATGCTGTGGAATCCAATTGAAAAGATGTAATGATTAATGGTTTATTGGGAATTAAGATGAGGGTATAAAGGTATATTCTAATCATTAAGGTGTCACACTCAAAATACTAAAAGAGGGAAAACCTATATTTGTTCTTTTTTCTTTGTGTGTGTGTGTGTGTTAAAATTTGTATTAATTTAGAATTCATTTTAAAAAATGTGTAATGGAAAGGGAATATGACAGACTAAAGAACCAGCTAAATTAATAAGTTTAATATAGATTATTAAAAGCCAGGAGAGACATTGGTAACTTCATTATTACTACTATTAGGCAAATATATATTGTTTATTTCCATTTTTAAAATAAATATTAAGGATTATATTTGAAATACTTGAAATGAAATAAAAAGATGTTTAGATTGAGATTAATGAAAGAATTTAGAATTAAACTTTATTATTATTATTATTAGGCAAACACATATTGTTTATCTTTGTTTAAAAACAAATACTAAAGGATGATATTTGAAATAATTGAAATGAAACAAAAAGATGTTTCGATTGAGATTAATTAAAGAGGCTAGAATTAATGTGTTTGTTTCTCTCCTTACTGAAAATTTGGAATGGAAAAGGTAATAATAGAATTAAGTATGCATATATCATATGTATAATTGCTGTCATATTTGTATGTAAAGGTGATCACCCAGAAATATGTTGTCCACTAAAAAGAGATTTTTTGTTTTTAATGTGAAAAACTGAATAAAATTTGTTAAAAAAGAAAAAAAAATAGCCAAGAGCGTGAAATGCCATCGCACCACAGTGAGCAGAGTGGTTGAAAAATACCAAATAACTGGTTCAGTTGATGACAGACTCCACTCTTGAAGACCAAGAAAGTCGACAAAATGGCAAGATCGGGCTCAGCAATGCATTTCGATGGCTGACAGGAAGCTCACCTCACCTCAGATTACAAGAATTTGGGGTGAAACATGTAAAAGTATGCACAAGCACAGTGCGTTGCAGACTGCTTTCCAGAGGGCTCAAAGGCTACAGGGCTCGAAGTAAACCTTTGCTCACAGACGCTCACCATTCTCATCAATGTGCGTGGGCCAAGAAGTATGCCAAGTGGACCAACAAACAGTGGGCCAAGGTCATCTTCAGTGACGAGAGCAATTTCTTTTTTTTTCCCCAAAGTTTTTTCTTTACACATCTCTTCACATGAGCAACATGATTCCAGATTACAATATTGATATATAGTCATAATTACACTTTCAACTTTCTTAATTAATATCACTTCAAATTATTATCCATTCGGCTAATCTTTAGATAAATTTCCCTTTCCATATTTCAATTAATTAATTCAATATCAAAATCATTTCATCCTCACATATATTTTCAATTCTTTATCCCCTATTATTTCCATTTTCAGCTTACCACCTATTTTATGTTACCTTATGTATTGTTAACATCTATAACTTTCTCAAGACAAATATATAATTAGACAGTCAATGAAAGAAAAAACAAGTAAAAGTAAAGTAAGATTAATACATTTAGGATCCACATGGTATATCTCCCCATATACAATGTATCTTATATCTATTCCAGAGATATTCATATAATCGATGTCAGATCCATGTATCTGTCATTTGGATACGTTTTCAAAAGTTCATTCTTGTTGATTGAATGGGAAAAGTTCTGTAGCCTGACATAAAGCAGTGTCTGCAATAGAGGTCAGCCTGGAGAGGAAATTTTAAAAAAACCAAAAACCTTCACTCTACCAAGGGGACCCTGCAAGAAAGGAAAATGTCTGAGTACAGCAAGGACCAAGGGGAAGCCAAATGCTGGGGAGAAACATCGACAGTTATCCAGCCAGATACTCGGTGCATCCCATTGAAGATAGTGAAACTGCCTACAAAACCTCCACAAAGCCCCAGTGGTCCATAGGCATAGGAAAGAGAGACAGCTGGGACAGAAGAACCAGGGGAGCAAGAAATTGGAGCTGGAGGCCCTATCAGATCAGGAAGGATGGGGCGAGCAGCCACTGGCCAACAACCAACTAGACGATACATAAATCACCCCGTGAGGGAAGCCCTGGAGAACCTTGAGGTGAGGGATGCACCAGGATGCCAACACAGGAGAGCAAGGGAACCAGAAAATGAGAGAACCCAAGCCACCACCCTGGATTCAGCTGGGAATGATTGGGCAGCAGGACAAGCTGAAGAACCAGCAGCCATACCTAAATGCCCCAGACCAGGGGATTAACCCTGGCCAACCCAGAGACATACAACTGCAGAGGAAGGTCAAACCCCGGGAGTAAAATTCAATGGGGACCCCCAGAAACATTAATTGTAGCCCTGGGAATGGAAGAGCCACTAGTCCTAGGTCTCACATGGCTCCGGAAATAGAATCCAAAAATAAATTGGAGGAGAGGAACTGTACAATTCCAGAGAGACTTAGTATTTGCAAATAGTTCAGAGGAAAGAATAAAGAAAGGAATAGAGAACAGAGAGTCAGCCACGACCGGACAATCGGCTGAACCGATTAACATCCCAAATGAGTACCAGAATCTGGCCCAAGTATTTAGCGAGGAAGCTTGTGATGAACTCCCACCCCATTGCACCACAGACTGCGCTATCAAAATCCTACCAGGGGCTAAACTCCCCAAACCACAAATGTACTGCATGTCTCCCAGAGAACTAAAAGAACTCAGAGCATTTATCGACAAAAATTTAAAAAGGGGTTTCATCGAACCTGCCCGACCAAAAATAGCTGCCCCAATGTTAGGAAGGGGATGAGTGGGAGACAGCTTTTAACACACCATTGGGATGTTACCAATTTAAAGTGCTCCCCTTTGGACTGCTAGGAGCACCTGCCATGTTTATGCAATTGATCAATGAAACCCTTCATGAATTTTTATATAAAGGTGTTCTAGTGTATCTTGTTGATATTTTAATCTACATGGAAATGATTGAAGAACACATCAAGCTCCTCTGTGCAGTCCTCACAAAACTCTTAGATGCTAAACTATATGCAAAACTCTCTAGATGTGAATTCCACCAAGAAAAAAATTGACTACTTGGGGTATAGAATATCCCACAAGGGAATAGAGATGGACCCACAGAAAGTAAAAGAGGTCATGGACTGGGGCCCACCGCACACCCTCAAACAACTGCAAAGCTTCCTGGGGTTTGCTAACTTATTGCCAGTTCATTTCAGCTTTTGCAAACATCGCCCTCCCTATCACAAATTTGCTAAAAATGAAGCGGGGGGGAGAAACCCAAACCAAGGCAACCCCTTATCTGGACAATGGAATGACAAGCGGCATTCGAAAAACTCAAACGTCTATTCACAGCAGAACCGGTCCTTAAGCACCCAGATCCCGAACAACGTTTTGTCATCCAAGCAGACACTAGTGATGTCCTCCTCCAAAAGAATGGAAATGGACAATTAAAACCATGCGCTTATACATCCAAGAAATTGATGGTAACTGAGCAAAGATGGGCCATATGAGAGAAAGACGAATATGCTCTGCAGTGGGCAATGCTCACATGGAGACATTTCCTGGAAGGAAACCAAATCCTCTTTGAAGTATGGACTAATCACAAAAATCTGGAAACCCTGAGAAATCCATGGAAACTCTCTGAAAAACAAGCAAGGTGGGATCAATATTTTGAATGGTTTAATTTCACTCTCAAATATTTTCCTGGGAGAAAGAACTTCTTCGCAAATGTACTGTCCAGAAAACCCCAATACAATAGCAAAAAGATTGAGGTTATAAAACCAATGATCCACCTGACCCAACTAGCAGCCAAAATAATCACCCAGGCACAAGAGAAAAATAAATCATCACTGACTGAAGACACAACGTCAATATTTAAGGAGGCACTACTTAAGGATGACTGGCTCCAGGCTAACAAAAACACTTGTTTAATCAAAGATGGACTGGCCTGGGTAGAGAACAAAGTTTATGTCCTGTAAGCCAGAGAATGGACCTCATGAAAGGCTGCCATGACTCCAAAATAGCAGGACACTTTGGGTTTGTAAAAACCCTGCACCTCATCAAAAGACAATTTTGGTAGCTGTCTCTCAAAAAGGACATGTGCTGCTGCAAAGAGAAGACAAGGAAAATCTCCTGGACTTTTACAGACAGCAGCAGACCCTTCTCACTCTGGAAAGAGATTTCTATGGACTTTATAGTGGAGCTTCCCGAAAGTGCTGGAAATACTGTCATTTGGGTGGTAACTTATCTTTTTTCCAAATAGGTTCACTTTATTCCATGCCAAAAGATCCCAACTGCTAAGGCATTAGCAAAGATGTTTCTAATCCACATTTATCGCCTTCATGGAGCTCCCCAATGGATTATCTCAGATAGGGGTGTTCAGTTCACATCCAAATTTTGGTGGGTGTTTTTAAACCTATTAGGCTCCACCCAGGGGTTGTCATCATCAAATCACCCCCAAACAAATGGAGGTTCTGAACATTCAAACAGCGTATTAGAACAATATTTAAGAAGTTTTATTAATTACCAACATTGGACTGACCTTCCTTTTTCAGAAGTAGCATACAATAACTCAGTCCATAGCAGCATGGGTTCACCCCATTCCAGGTAGCCATGGGCCAAGAATTCAACCCCATGTCGGAACTACCCATCAAAGAACCTGAAATCCCTTCCCTTAAGGTGTGGATAAATAACTTGCAAGCCACGTGGCCAGTGGTAAGATTAGCATTATAGGAAGCTAGAGCAGCTTTTAAAGTTCAAGCGGACAAAAAACGCTGTGATCCTAAACCTTTCAAGATTGGGGACCATGTATACTTGTCCACAAAATTCTTAAAATCATTACAACACTCTAAGAAATTAGGACCAAAATTCATTGGCCCATTCCCCATCTCCAGAATTATTAACCCCGTGACAGTAGAGCTTTGACTTCCAAAAACACTTAGTCAGATTCATCCAGTATTTCACTGTAGCTTGCTCAAACTGGAGATCACTTCAAACCTCAGACCCCCCCCCTTCCCACACCTCCAACCCCATCATGGTACATGGGGAACAACATTTTGAAATTAAAGACATCCTTGATTCACGCACTCATCATGGATCCACACAATATTTAGTAGCTTGGAAACACCTTCCTTCTTCAGAAAATGAGTGGGTAGCCAAACAACACATAAAAGCACCCACATTACTATGAAAGTTCCACCTAAAATACCCTGATAAACCATCCTGAATTGCAAATCTAACACATGATTTTTCTTTTTTCCAGGTAGACCTATCTGTTTTTTAAGAAGGGCAGGATGTCAGATCCGTGTATCTGTCATTTCTTCAGTGGAAGAAGAAAAGGGGGTGGGGGGAGAAGGCTGATAAAGAAATCCTTTCTTGATGTAACCTGAATATATTTAATCTTATATCGAATTTGTATAACCCACACATGATACAATGGAGGAAACCCAGATGGCCGGAACTTATCACCTCTGAGAGGCACAGCCAGGAGATGAGAAGACCATAAAAATTCCACAATGAGATGTGTCTTGGGAAACTCTGAAAAAGATCGTTCTAAAAAGAGGTTGGGGGGAATTAACATGTTGGCTCTTTGTTTTACTAAATACACATCAAGATAAGGGGAGGGGTTTTAAACTTATCTATCTCTGCATGCCTGAGAGACCTTTAGACACTGCTTTTAACCCCTACATGAATTGTCCCATCTCAATAAAGGATTCCTTTTTGATATGTTTGGATACGTTTTCAGAAGTTCATTCTTGTTGATTGAATGGGAAAAGTTCTGTAGCCTGACAATCATTTCATATTTGTTCTATTTCCAAAATTTACCTATATAATTTTAATAAATTTTCATTGCTTTTGATTTTAATATAATTCATTCATTATAAATATTTTACATTTCTACATAATCCCTTCTGGTTCATCATATTTTCTATTTTCTCATATTCTTTGTATAATCAATTATATTTTCTATTTCATGTATACCACAAAGAAAAAAATAAAACAAAAACAGAGTTAATTTCCCCTTTTACTTCTCTTTGACCAATTTCAACCTATAGCATTTATATAACCCTAATTCACATTTTTTAAACATAATTAATACCAGATTTTCACCCAAGTCATCATATTCTCTCTTTTCCTAATATCAAATAGTCAGCATATTTTAGAATATACATATACATATATATATGTATGGTATTCAGCTTTGTTCGGGTATTTTCCCATGTCATTATAGTTGTGCTTTTAAAGTTGTAGCAACGTTTCGGCAGACTCTCATCTGCCATCATCAGGCTTCTGTATAGTGTTCGTCTGTGAGTCAGACTTTCACAGCCGTTTCTGTTTTAAATTTGGTGCTAACCTACTGCTGTGCCAGAATGTTTTTTTCTTCATCCTGATTGGTTGGGAGTCTTGGTCTGTGTTTATTGGTCTTGGAGTTTGCTGCGTTCTGCTTGATTGGTGTTTCTAATATCTTCTGTCTGTTTTGTAGCTTTTTTTGTCTTGATTGGCTGGAAACATTGTGTTTCCTGTATTGGAGGCTTTTAGTGCGGCTTGGCTCCGAATAAATGGACGGCTATCATTGCCAGCGAATCATGAAATTAATTACAAAAGAATCAAATTAATATCCAACACTGAACACTCCAGCAAGAGAATAATCAGGGAAGCCATCGAGATAGAGAAACACCCTAATAACATGAATAGACGGGACGATGCCTACCAGATATCTGGAAGCTAGCCCTCACCAACAAACGAGTCCCAGCCATGAAAACCAACACCAGACCCAAAACAACACGAGACACCACCACCACTCCCCCTCATCAGACCCAGGCCCAAGCCCATCCTTTAAGCGAAGGACAACCACCATCCAGAAAATAGACCACGGCTGCTGCGCCAGCTGTTGCACCCCCTGACCCCAAAACCAAACAAGCTGACACATGTCAAGAACACAGACCCAGACCCCAAACTCGAAGCCAGACTAAAACCCAGAATGCTACATCACAGCCACCTGCTCAGGATATCACATCAGAAAACTCAGGAAATTACACCACAAGAACTCAAGAAGTTGCAAATGACCCAGGATATCACAGCACAAGACCAAGGATACCACAGCAATAAATCTCACAAGGTCATCACACAACCCATTACCCAAGCCGTTACAACACAGGAGGCTAATGGAAAAGAGATCAAAACACAAATGACCCAGGAGATTACAATGCAGGACCCAGGATACCACAACAAAAGAACTCGCAAGCCCATCACACAACCTATTACCCAAGCAGTTAAAACACGAGAGGCTAATGGAAAAAAGATCACTACAAAACAAACGACCCAGGAGATTACAGCACAAGATCCAGGATATCTCCACAACAAAACTCACAAGGCCATCACACAGCCCATTATACCAACATCAACTCCATCAATCAATCAAGAGGCAGCAGCGCAGCCAACCAGCCCAGCACACCAGCCCCCACCACCAGTATATATATAGAGATGGCAGCTCCGATCACACACTGCTTGCACTGGCACAAAGCCGAAAGCACCAGCCTGAGGATGGTGAGTGGGACCAAAGACCCGAAAACACACACACACACACACACACACACACACAGATATGTATGTGTTATGTCTCCTCTTGGAGATTCAAATGAACAAACACAAAGCAGCCGTTTCACAATCAAATCAAACTGTAGAAAATAACAAGATAACGGCTGGCAAAAACTGTTAGGACTTCCCTTCAAAATTCAAACAAACAGAGATCTCTTTGCAGTAACGTCCTCATTCAAAATAGACATTTTGTTTCTGGCAAAAGGCACCAGCTCAGCTGTGTCCTTTTATACCCATTAAGGCAACGTGCTAATTAACTGGCTTGCCCTTCAGATTAACGTTCCCTGGTTCTGACGTCAATCCACAATCTAACAGTCATCAGATTCAAAGTTTCTTAACAGTACCAATCCTTCCAATCACAACACTATCCCCCACCGCAGGGCCCTTCCCCCGAGTCTGATGTTTAACTTGACGATGTTTCGTTGACAACCCCACTCTGTCTCCCACAGCCAATGGAGGCGTCGCTCGTTCCAATTGTCTCAGGTGGTCTACACATTGGAGACTTGGAAAAGAAATACCGTTCTGCGACCAAGCCACCAACGGATTGTGCAAACGCAACCAGGACATTCCGAGCACCAAAGGGAGATGAAGGTTCGAGGTGATATAAAAACTTATCGCCTCCTCATGATCCCCAATGATCATACGCACTGGCTGGGTGGCGAAACGAATGGGCCCAGACTTGAGCACACGCCCATCCACGGTTTCCACCTTAATGGGTGGATGTACAGCAACCAATGGGATCCCATAGTGCGTAGCAAAAGCTCGGTCCATAAAGCTGGTTGTAGCCCCTGAGTCCACCAACGCAACAGCAGAAATTCCCTCCTTCTGTGACTGTAGAAAAATTCGAGTGTCCAAAAGTAAATGCCGAGGGGGGCCAGGTTTTACTTCAGCAATTTGAGGTGGGGATGTGAAATGTGTCCGACCTAGGGTTTCCTTGAGGTCAGGTCTACCCTTTTTTCCTGACGAGCCAAGAGTGGTTTCAGGTACGGGTCTGCGGTTCCCTCTCCGATTGCAGGAATTAACAAAATGTCCCAGACCCCCGCAATAAAGGCACAAGCCTTCCTGGAACCTTCTCGATCGTTCTCGTGCCGTTAAGTGAGGGTGGAGTGCGCCTAACTCCATCAGCTCCTCAACATTAACCGTGGGTTGGAAAACTCTCGGTGGCGTGGGATGTGCACGAGAAAACGAAGATGATTCCATACCGAGCCGTTTGCGTCCACGTTGCTGTAAACGAGCTTCAATTCGTAAGCACTGAACTATCAATGCATCCAAAGTTAAAGCCCTCTCTGCATGGACCAGCTCATCTTTGATGGCATCAGACAAACCTTCCTGGAATGCAGCCATATGAGCCGGTTCATTCCAATTGGAGTCCAAACACAGCAAACGAAATTCTGCAACGTAATCTTGGAGGGAACGTTTCCCCTGATTTATATCCCACAAACGTCTGTCCACAGTTTGTATCTTAATTGGGTTCTCAAACATCACTTTCATTTGCTGAAGAAAACCCTGGAAATCATTCAACAACGGGCTATCTTGAACTAACAAAGGAGTAGCCCAATTAGCAGCCTGCCCAGATAAGAGGCTAAGAATGAATCCTGTCTTGGCCCGATCATTTGGAAAGTTTTCAGGCCTCAAGGACATAAATAATTGACACTGCCCCAGAAATGCCGGAAACATGTCCGTTTGCCCAGAAAATTTCTCCGGCATGGATACTGGGCTTTTCCTCACAGGAGGGGCAGGGGGAACAGCAGCAGGGCTTGGTAAGCTGGAAACATAATTCAGCAATTGTGTTACCTGATTCTGAAGCGTCACATTGCTTTGCAGGAGCTGATTTATTTGCTGTTGCTGCACATCTACCAAACGCTGCAGTTGATTTAAATCCATCTTGCTTGAAAGATGGTTTGTTCAGGCCAGAAACAATAATGTTATGTCTCCTCTTGGAGATTCAAACGAACAAACACAAAGCAGCCGTTTCACAATCAAATCAAACTGTAGAAAATAACAAGATAACGGCTGGCAGAAACTGTTAGGACTCCCCTTCGAAATTCAAACAAACAGAGAGCTCTTTGCTGTAACGTCCTCATTCAAAATAGACATTTTGTTTCTGGCAAAAGGCACCAGCTCAGCTGTGTCCTTTTATACCCATTAAGGCAACGTGCTAATTAACTGGCTTGCCCTTCAGATTAACGTTCCCTGGTTCTGACGTCAATCCACGATCTAACAGTCATCAGATTCAAAGTTTCTTAACAGTACCAATCCTTCCAAACACAACATGTATGTATGTATGTATGTATGTATGTATGTATGTATGTATGAAAGGATTAATAACAATAGAACCTTCTTAAATATCATTCTATCTTCATTTTTCTCATCTATAATAATCTCATAATCTTAAAGTAATTCCCAGTAAGTTATAAACTTCAAATGTCCCCAGTCTACAATTCTAATAAAAAATACAAAGATACATTCCCATGTGGTGTCCCCCTTTTATGCTATATCTAACCCTTATATCTAAATCCCTTGGCCTTGTCAAGTGAGTTTTAGCCAGCTTTCCCTTTACTAAGTTTTCCTGGCCTTTCCTCTTTATCCCTCTTTTTTCCTCTAATATTACATTTATTTCCATCTGCCAGTCCCCCATCTTTCCTCCCCCCCCCCTTTCCTTTTCTCTTTTTTGAAATTTCTTCTTGTACAGCTTCTTCTTTTGCTCACTCTTGGGAGGTTTTTCTCTTTTATTTATTATCTCTGTCGTCAATGTCTTAGTTTTAGTTCCTTTTGTGTCTTTTGGCAATGTCTCTGAATTATCATGTCCATCTTGGCTGTTTTCCTCTTCCTTTATTTAGCTCCTCCTCTCTAGAATTCCTTTGTTCTGCTATAAATTGCATTACTTTTTCTGCCAGTGTGCCCAATAGACCCCTTCTTTCTTTTATCGTTTCTTTCACAGTTTGCAGTTCCAACTTAAATTCTTTGATTGCTTCTTCCATTTTTTAATCAATTGTGTTATTCTTTATTTTATTAAAGTTAATTGTAATCTTTGCCAAGAGACTCTGTTTATATCTCTTTTCCTTAATTGGTCCTTCTGTTTCCTTTGCACAGTCAACCTCCAACAGTCCCAAGATATTGCCTTCCTTTGTCCTCTTGCTGCAATCTCCCCCTTTTTCTTTTAAGCTTCCGGGGTTCTTGTTATGTTAAAGTCTTTTATTTCATGTCTTTTCTCATTCACACATTTAACAGACCAGTAATTTTCCATAAAGTTATCCAGGAAAAAATGCCTTGTACCATTAGGTGGCACTCTATATTGCTTCCACTTTTCAAAGTCCTTTTTTTTTTTCAGTTATATTAATATTAATTTTTAAACATTTCAACCATTGGCTTTTTTTAAAGTATAATCAATTCCAAGCAAGTTCAGCATTTTATCCAATGCCTAATTAATGCCAGGTTCTTTTAATTCCCAATTCTGTCCTTAATTACTTAATAGATCTTTGTAGTCCATATTTTTATTTACCTTATATTGTCCTCTTGTTTTCTATTCGCTGCTGTTGTACTCTCAAGCGAGGAATCTTTCTTTCTGCTTTTCAGGGTTATTTAAACAAAAGGTTCAGCTTCTCTTATCTGGATACACGCCACTCACCACTTCACCTCTCCAGCATACACTTAGGTCCTGGTAGCTTCCTGTCTTCAGGGCAGCCATTAAAAGCACCACTTGTCCATGTCTTCCAGGGGAGTATACCAAGCCAGGGAGGGGAAGAGGGGTCTCCCCCTCTTCCCCCACCCCTCTAAGGTGGGTCTGATGGTTCAGTCCCATAGGGACACTTCCAACAGGGTAAGCATGGATCGAAACCACACATGATTGTGGTCTCCATCTGTCCTCGATGGAATTGCCACCGGAAGTCGAGAGCAATTTCAACGACTGGGAATCAGTGCAATAAGTATGTCAGAAGATTCCAGCTGAAGAATTTAGGCTGTACTGTCTGAATCTATCTGTGAAGCAACCATTGCATGTGAAGATCTGGGCTGTATCGCTGCTTCTGGTATTAGTTGGATGCAAATTGTGCAGGGAATCATGAATTCCAAGGAGTATATTGAAGTCCTGGAAAAGTCCATGCTTCCTTCAGCTCAGCAACTTGTAGGGAAGGACTTTTACTTCCAGGATGACAATGTCCTTGTCATCCAGCCAAGTCCATCGAGCGGTGGATGAAGAAGCATGGTGTTCGACTCCTGGATTGGCCAGCTCAGAGCCCGGATTTGAACCCAATTGAGAACTTGTGGGCCAAGATTGGTTACAAAATAAGCAAGAAGCATTCGAAGACCAAGCAAGAGCTGATTAAATCCATTACTGCAGCCTGGCACCATATTGTTACCAAATATCATGTACAAAGGCTTACACAGTCTATGCTGAAGCTAGATAAGCAATAAAGACTGGCCAATTTCATATTAGTAACCATGTTTGGTTACCTAAACAGTCCTTTTCAGGGCCACAAATAAAAACGTTAACAAAATACTAGCATTGGCCTTAGTAATTGCAACACATATGCCACTGGGTATGCATCAGTTAATCTGTTTTCATAGTCATTGTAGAAAGAAAGAAGAAAATTCACAATCCTTATCCAAACAGCACCAAATTGCAAAAAGCGTATGCTTTTCACTTAAAAAGCACCAGTATTTAAATATAACAATATTTCCATAGCAGTTAGCATAAAATATCATAAAATCAATGGCCTATCCAAAAAATGTAATAAACCATAAAGTGTAAAGCATGAAGGATTTTTTCACACAGCTGTATCTGTGTCTGTGTGTATAGAAAGAGAAATAATTCTTTTTGCTTGCCTAACACAATGATTAAGCATGAAAGGTATAATTTGATAGCCAAACTTGTCCTTGTGCAGGATAGTAATCAACCTGCCTACTGCAGTAGGATACTCTCTGGAAGACATTAATTAAGGCTGTGAGTTAAAATTAGGCCAAATTACATATTAGAAAAAGAAACATATAACTAGATTTTCTATTTTTTTAAAAAGAAAACCCAAATGTTTATAGACGTTTACATGAGGGGATAGTAATGAGAGCATTCAAAATCCATGTTAGATCAAAGACCAAGAAATAAATGAAAGTAACAAAAACAAAATAATAACATATATAAGATGATAGATAGATAGATAGATAGATAGATAGATAGATAGATAGATAGATATAGATATAGATAATATAGATATAGATATATAGATATGTATGTATGGCATTCAGAAGGCTATACAGAAGACTGATGATGGCAGATGAGATTCTGCTGAAACGTTGCTACAACTTTAAAAACACAACTACAATGATGTGGGAAAATACCCGAACAAAGCTGAATGATATATATATATATATTCTTAAGTTTTCGCGGGTACTTACATGTATGGCATCATCAGGCTTCTGATGATGGCAGATGAGATTCTGCTGAAATGTCGCTACAACTTTAAAAGCACAACTACAATGACGTGGGAAAATACCCGAACAAAGCTGAATGCCATACATGTAAGTACCCGCGAAAACTTAAGAAAACAAATATCAAACCTCTACGGGGAGGAAATAAACAGCCAGATCAAAACCTACGAGAAACTGGAAATTAAAAGAGGAAAAGAAAACCTAAACAATTTCCTAACACACCTAAACAGCACACACACCCAAATCAAGCTCACCATGGAAATGGAAACAAACAAACAACTATCATTCCTAGATGTACTAATCTACAAAAAAACAGATGGCACACTTGGATACATCATATACCAGAAGAAAACACACCAACCGCTACCTCAACATCCAATCCCACCACCACCCAGCACAGATAAACTCCGTGGCCAAAATCACCAGAATCAAATGCCTGGCAGACAAGACACACATAAAGACTGAACTATGCACCCTGACTAAAGTACTGACAGCTAACGGCTTCCACAAAAGCAAAATCACTGGCTTGATCCACAAAAACACACTGAGACATAATGGAGACCTAGAAGATGAACAGACCTATGGAACAGCTGTCCTGCCCTACATAAGAGATACTACAGACAAAATCAGTAAGATACTACACAGGCATCACATCAAGACTGCCTTCAAAACAGACAGAAAAATAGCAGCCATCCTAAGAAACCCCAAAGATAAAATTGACCTGGAAAACCAAGGCATATATGAAGTCCCCTGTGCATCATGCCCTGCCGCATACATTGGACAGACCAATAGAAGAATAAGTACCCGCCTGGATGAACACAAAAATGCAATAAAAAAGTTGGAACATACTTCCTCACTAGTCCAACACATGAAAGGAATAGGTCATAGCATCGACTTCAATGGCACCAAAACCCTAGCCACTATAGAAAACCCCAGCCACAGAATTATCAGAGAAGCCATAGAGATTGAAAAAAGACCTGAAAGCATGAATAGAAGAGATGATTCCACCAGACTGTCAATTATTTGGAAGCCCGCACTCACAAACAAAAAAATCTCCACACCACAAGCCAGCCAAACACCTGGGCACAAACAGACTCCCCCTGATACCTCCAGCTCAAACACACCCCAACCAGGCACCCAGATGAAACCTAGCTTCCTAATAAATGATAACCGTCCATTTAGTCGGAACCAAGCTGCACTAAAAGCCTCCAATACAGGAACACAATGTTGCCAGCCAACCAAGACAAAAAAAAAACCACAAAACAGACAGAAGATATTAGAAACACCAATCAAGCAGAACACAGCAAATTCCAAGACCAATAAACACAGACCAAAACTCCCAACCAGTCAGAATGAAGAAAAACCCATTCTGGCACAGCACCAAATTTAAAACTGAAACGGCTGTGAAAGTTCTGACTCACAGACAAACACAATACAGAAGCCTGATGATGGCAGATGAGATTCTGCCAAAACGTTGCTACAACTTTAAAAGCACAACTATAATGACGTGGGAAAATACCCGAACAAAGCTGAATACCATACGCGAAAACTTAAGAAAACATATGTGTGTGTATATGTGTATCTGTGTATATGTGTGTGCGTGTGTGTATATATGTATGTATGTATGTATGTATGGCATTCAGCTCTGTTCGGGTATTTTCCCACGTCATT